TCCTAACAAGCGTGACAGGTCAGTTGCGTACCCACCCACCATAAAAATATAGATTTTATTGTTTTACGTAACTCGCAACAGTTATGGACGAGAAAATCGACAGACGTAATACTTGTTGTAGGGTATTGTAACTCTGACGAAAATCTTGATGGATTGCCTTTTTTTTTGTTACGGATATCAATTTGTCTGTGGTCTACTTAGGCACACTAGCAGCTTAATAAGCTGAAGTGCGCGTTTTTGCGGATTTGGAGAAATAATCCAAACTTTTTTTGAAAGAGTTCAAAGAGGTTGCACTACTAGCTCTATCCGGATGCCTATTACAGTCAGCCACTACTCGTTTTGGGAGAAAGTTCTTCAGGGAATTTGTATTATATTGAGTGTATTAATAATAATATATACCTACAACATTTTATTAATTATTTATATGTTTAATATATTACTTCGTTTACGCTACACATAATAAAACTTCTTTGACAATTTTTTTGCTAGTATTCTTTGTTCAGTCTTGGGACTTTATAAGTTGTATTTATCTAAAAGGCTGGCAACGCACTTGCGAGCCCTCTGGCATTGAGAGTATCCATGGGCGGCGGTATCACTTAACATCAGATGAGCCTCCTGCCCGTTTGCCCCCGTTCTATAAAAAAATATAGTTTCATAGCATATAAAAATTGGTGAAATAAATGATTATTTCGCGATTCTCTTTAATTTAACACGGGTGTTTTTAGTCTATAATTAAGTCAAAATGCTAGGAAAATATATTATAATACCTATTTAGATAAAAATGAAAAGGCCTATTTATCAAACTCAACAAAATGCGTTTTTAAACTATTTCACGGCTGTTGAGTTTAACTTTTACAAGGAAATATAACACACGCAAACATGAACATTACCAAGTTCAACAAACCTATTACTGTACAAAACTGTTTTTAATGAACTTATTAAAATATTAAAGTTAATACATATATTATTTATAAGTAATCGTAACAATCAAATATACAGTATTTATAATTTTCTTAACCTACATAGTAATAATAAAAATAATTAAAAATTAATAAAATTAAACCAAATTTAGAAAGTTTGGTCCCTGTGGCAGTGTACCTTTAACGCTGGCAGCATTTCCTCGCTGTATTGAGATACTTATTCGTTGAGCGAGGAAAGCACCAGCTCTGGGGTCATCGGTACTATCTACTAGGCGCCAACTTAAATCTTCAATTAGCGCCTGAGCTATTGAACCCCACGGCCCAAAAGTCTCTCCAAAGGGAACAAAATCGAAGTTGGAGGAAAGACTCTTATATTTGACCCGTCAATTATTTTCCGCCTGCTCTGCGGCCGCCCCAGCCTTTTTGCTTGTCCGAGGGAGGTGAGACGGGGCAAACGTGTCCACGCAAGTAGCATCCCATAACAAAGCCCATCCCATCTTCCAAAGGATCAACGACATCCCATCCGGCCGCTTGCCATCGTCTCTTGCTTTGCGTTCTATTACGATTTTATTTAATACTTGACACTAATTGCCTCGTCTCAATAAACATAAAATTAGAAGCATAATATATAGTATATACAGACAACTAAAGGATAAAAAGCTATCTTAGACAATATTGTTTAATTCTACGATTGATTTTATTAAAGATCGTTAGTAATTACTAATATGTACTATTCTAAATTTTAGAAATCGGATGTTTCATAAAATGTAGTTAACGCTGCAAAAATATATTAGCAATGTTTTCAATTTAATCGTCTCTTCCAATCGATTGAACAAACAATGGGCCAATAATTTCAAAAACAATTTGTTAGAAAAGCTACTTTTGAGTAATAAATAATACGACTCTGTTTTTAATACTCTGAGCACTCGTTGACCCGTGACCATGCAATCTGTAAAGCAGAGACAATATCGGGATAGCTATCAAATTTTAATTGTAACTAAAATCAAAATGAAACCATTACTTGCATTTTAAATTTGTATTAGAATATAATATAATCACAGAATATGTGTAGTATTAAGTAAAGAAATCTAAACGCAAACAGTAAACACAATTCTAAACATAAAAACACTCAATGAAAATGTCAGGCCCATTCAATTTAAATTAATTATCACATATTGCAGTTACATTAATAGATTTAAAGCCCGGTTGTCACCTCTTACGAAACATCTCGTGGAAGTGGCAGTATTTTAGCGCTATGCGATTTTCGCCCCATTGCAGTAACTCGCGCAACATGGCGTCACGCACAGCGCGCGGCAAATTCTGCGCGCCCTAGTCAAAATAAGACTGACGATGACTTGATGACTTATGTGATATCTGTGACTGTGATGACTAAATGACTTTGACTATGACTTACAGTGACCGTTACACTATGACTGGATTGACTAAAGTTACCAAGAGGAAGGTTAGTACTGACTATTGATTTTTATGTTAAATACGTTTCCCTTAAAATTTATAATATTTAAATTATAAATATAAGCAATGTTAACTTTCACATTATACATTTTATATAATAATTACTTGTGAAATGTTGTAATACTGACTTTAAAAAAAAGTGGTGTATTAATAAAAATCTAAGAATACTCACAATAATAAATAAAAATCCTTGAACCACGCATTGATCAATTTATAATAATAATATACCTTTCATATTCCGAAACCCTGTGATGATCTGCGATCTTTAATAATATATCTTCACTACAGTAGGTATATCTCGGAGTTCAGTGTGCCTCTTGGCAAAGCCCTCATTTAATCCTTTCCACTGTTCTCTATCATTTGCGACTTTTCTCCAGTTGTAGCCTACTGTTAATTTGTGTTTCGTCCACCCATATCTTGCGTTGTCGGCCTCTTCTTCGTTTTACGTTTCTAGGGTATCATTCCGGTAATATTTTGCTCCATTTTTCATGGGGGCTCCGTAGAATTTGACCCGTCCATTGATCAATTTATGCTTATTTAATTCTTCTAACAGAACTTGGTCTTGGATAAAATATATTATAATATTAACAGCTAGCAACAAAATACTCTTTACCTGGAAAAAAGTCATACTCGACGTAAACTAGTCTAACTAACAAATATTATGTTGTAAAGTGCGAATAGGGTGATTTTGTCGAACGCTGCAAATAACCACCTCAATTTATAGAAAAAAAAATTAATTCGAAATATTAGATATTATAACCAAATAGCTTATTAAGAAATAGGTGCCATAGCACACGTAACATTACCTAACGTTATCCTTAACCACATATCGGGGTCGCTACCCAAGGGACCAGACATAATGCGACCTTAAGCCAATAACCTATGCAATGCCTACAACGGCAGTGAAAGTTACTTTCACTCATGTAAATATAGTGACAGGTGTATTTACGGCTTTTTAAAATAAACGACAGATGAAATGGAAATTTTTTGATATTTTTTTCGGTTTTTATAGTATCGTATAGATTGTTGATAAAGATATTTTAACAAATCTTGTATTTTATATTTTTTTTTATACGTTCTAAAACAATGTGTATGCGTAATAATTACAAGAAAATATGACATTACAAATTTAACACACACAAATACAAATCAATTATATTAGAACATAAGGATCTATCAAAGGAAAAAATTAAACATACAACCACAAAATAAAAACTAAAAAGATAAAAAATTAAATAAAAGTAACAATAATCATCTAAACTAAATTAAACAAGGTTACGGAAACTTGGCTGATCGTTGTAAAACACATCAATATTTTCATCGATGTTAGTAATCATGTTGTAAGAGCGAGATAGATTATAATCGCAATTGTGTAGTATGCCTTTGGATTTGAAACTTGGCTGTATAAAGTTATAACTATGAATTACAACTTCTGTAATGCCCTTGGAAAATAAATCCAAATCAAATTGAATATATTTTTATTTTACCCTGTATGGAAAATATTTTCATACAAATATCCAATATATACGTACAACAGATACTTGAAAAATTATAAGTAAAAGTAGGAATAAATAACTTAAAAACAGGCTTAATAATAGACATTTCCTACTTCCACTTCCTCAAACTTTCCCTATCGTTAAAAGCTAATCACAATCAAAACATATATTTATCTAAGCACATTCGACATGAAATATGCGCTTTCTCTCGCGTTTCGTAACTCATAAAAAATATGACTTGCATATTATTACGTAACTTTAGAAATTTTGTTAAAAGCTATGGTATTTGTTATTAGCGTTTGGTTATATAATTTTGTACATTATGTTAAATATACTTAATATTTAGATATTGATTAATGTGAGACGTCAAGTAAACGCGTATTGAAGTCCGTTGTATTAATAAATAGGATATCATCTTTTAATTGATTTTAAACATTTACAATTAATTTTCCAGTTATTTTTCCGTACGTGAGTTAAGTTCAGTGGCGGTTGTTGTGGATATGTTCAGATATGTATTAAATGAAACACCTTGTTTGAATCTGGGTAACAAGTGACTTTAATCGTTTAAAATATTAGCTTATAACTAAGATAAAATTAGGGGTAGTAGGGTTGCGACGACAACAAAAACTAACTTGGCTTATCTAAGGGTTCAAAAATAAAAATCCAAGGCACACTTCAATTTAATTACAGTCGACCTTTTTGAACATTATCGGAAACAAAAATATTGTAATACAATTTATGAGTGTGGATAAAACTAAAGGGCTCATTTCGGCTTCAAGTGTGCACCTAATATTTGGTTTACGCTTCTAATTATTTACTAAAATATATATAGGAATGAAACTTAACTGATGTTAGGTTACATAACTCGCGATTCTTGCTACCCAGCCCCACAGTCCCCGTATCCAGCTTGACACCCTTGGCGCGAGCCTGCGTAAGCACATTTTCACCTCATTTTAAAAAAAGACAACTCGCGTTATGGATCTAATTCAAGTAGAACACTCCAGGCACTCTGCTTCTCAGAGAACCGGGTGAAATAACCCACTAAAACCACCTTGTGTAGTACCAACACAAAGACATTTGAGGTCACTTTCGCATTCTACCAGGATCGAATATGATGTCGACAAATTGTAGACTACATAGGAGGTAGGAGACGGGCGAACCTTCTCTCTCTCAACTTCTATCTTTCAAAAGGGTTTTCTTATACTGCGCGCTCTCTCTTTTTCTGTAAAACAATCGCATTCCAGGATTGGCTAGTATGTTCGAGAAAACTACACATAGCAATAAAACTGATTTGAACGCGACAAATTAAAACGATGTGATTTTTTTCACAGTGGAGACAACCTGGAGAGTCGCACAGATGAAATAAAATTCCCAACTGCAAGTGCCCTTCGTCAGTCCCCTCTTCTCGAGCAGTGCCCACTACGCGGTCCACCTAAATGTCCACCAGCGTCCAAGAGGTATGTTGACTTTTGAAAATGTATATTAAGGTTTTTGGATCAGTGATGGCCGTAGGTCGTAGGTTCGATCGCCGACTGTGCATCAATGGACTTTCTATGTGCATTTAACATTCGCTCGAACAGTAAAGGAAAACATTGTGAGGACACCGGCTTGCCTTAGCCCCAAAAAGTTGACGTGTGTCAGGCACAGGAGGCTGATCACCTACTTGCCTATTAGTTACACAAATGATCATGAAACAGATACAGAAACCTGAGGCCCAGAAAATGTGTTGTGTATATTTTTTTTAATTTATATAAGAAACTAGTGGACCCCATTCTGCTGAATTTAAGCGATTAGGATATTAAGCAAAGATGAAAGTACCGTGCAGTGCCATCTGCCGGGCTGATTTGGAATCTAAACCATTCCCAGATCCCCTTGAACACACACAAAAATTTCATCAAATCGTCGAGTTTGAGAGGAGTTCAGTCAATAACACAACTATATATTAAGATGTAATTCACCCATCAATATTTATACAATATCAAAATAATCTTTGTGTGAAAACGTCCATACTGATCATGAAGGTTTTTAATCATACATTCTCAGAATATCTATAATGTAATATTTTTTCTTCAGATACCGTACCCACGATGGTACCTGCAACAACTTAAACCGCCCAAGATGGGGCTCAACCATGACTCCAGTTCAGCGTTTCCTTCCACCAGTGTACTCCGACGGCATACAAGCCCCAAGGAGATCCGTCTTCGGCTCCCTTCTACCATCAGCCCGTGAGATCAGTGCGTTAGTGCACGAAGATCAAAACGTAGAAAACCCCGGAATTACACACTTGCTAATGCAATGGGGTCAATTTTTAGACCATGATATGGTATCCTCGTCACAATCAAGAGGGTTTAATGGATCTGTGCCAAGATGCTGCAAAGATGGTGGAAGGGATTTCATTCCTAAGGAATTTTTGGTAAGACCCACAACCTTTTTTTTATTATTGCTAAAACTGTGTCTGTTTAACCTTGTTGTCTGAAGGGGTACATATTTCTTTAAATTCCTTATGAACTAACGTGCTGACGGCTATGCTGTGACGCGGCAGTAGTCATATTATATTTCTTCCCGTTTCCAATCGAACGGAACTATCACAGCTAGAGTAGGTATATGCTAGTAGATTCATTAAAATTCTGCTACATTTTACTTTAACGCCGACGTTGAACTGAGAGTAATGTGGCTTATATTCAATTCTGTTTTACGAAAGGATTGTCATTTTGATTTAAGAAATTTAAGTCTACTTATTTATAAGCCGTTTTGATAAAATAATAACATTAGTACAGTAAGAAGTTAATTCTTAAAAGTATAAATAATTCGTTAGTATATAGCACAGATTTATTTGTTTCGTAGTCCTACGCCGAACATAAATTATATATAGATATAAGAAAAAGCAATTATACTAAAGATATAGCCAAAGATGGAATACATAGTACATATATACAAAAAAGTTCATTTACAGAAGGAAAAAATCAATAAAAAATATTCAATACATTTAACAAAGTAATACCTAATTCGGCTGTGTTGTGTGATGGTGTAAAACAGGGTATGTACGTGAAGCTGAGTATGTTGGGTATGCTCATGATGCAGGTGATTTAGCGCTATGGATATTCTTAATACTCCTTATAAGATTCCACGATAGCTTAAACAAGTCAAGGCTTAAATATTGGTCGTTGTATGTCCGGGCTGCGCGATACAAAACTGAACGTTTTGCATGATGTTTATTTTCTTCCCTTTTTTTCAGCATCCTGAATGCTTTCCTATAGCTGTACCCCTTTCGGATCCCTTTTACGGACCTCGTGGAGTGAGGTGCCTGGACTTCATCAGGTCTTCACCGGCACCTCAGGAAGACTGCCGAATTGGCTGGCGTGAGCAGATCAATCAGGTGTCAGCGTACATCGACGGATCTCCTCTGTATGCAAGCTCAGCAAGGCAGTCCGACAAACTACGATTGTTTAGGAATGGTACGTTTATATTCACCAATCCGGTCGAGTTATTTAGCCTTCCTCCATAAAATATAAAAATATAGGTTTATTAAGAGGAAATCGGTTAAGCTGTCACCCGAACGAACTTGCTCGCCAACTCACCACTAGACAGTATGTGAGTCCACTAAAACGTCACCATATTCTAGAGCTAGAAGACCGGCATTAGCTCTAGGCAGAAGATGAGTAGATGCTTCCAATGTGAAGTCACTCCACATGACAGCACCACACCACAGAACAGTTTCGCTCATAGCCTTAGGGCTGATTGCAAATATCCGCAGAGAAAAAAAAAAGGTTTATTAAGAAATAACACAGGTAACATCAAGTATAAAGCCAGTGTCCATCTCTGTAACTCCCAATGGTTATAGTGATTCTTTTTAATTAGTCAGTTCCCTTTAATTTGTTAAAAACCTTATATTAAATTGAAAATATGAACCTTAGGTATGCTTCAATACGGGCGAGTACAGCAACGGCGCCCCCTACTGCCCACGGAGAGACGGGATGAGTTGTGCAGAGGCGGAGCTCTGTCTGCTGACTGCTTCAAGTCTGGTGACGCCAGGGTCAACGAGCAACCAGGCCTTGTAGCTGCTCACATTCTGTGGTTACGACAACACAACAGGTATAACTATTTATTGTTTGCACGAATCCAGTGTATAATTAAGTTAACCAAAACAAACAATTCAACAGTAGTTTTAGAGATTAAAATAGTATTGTCATAAAACCTTTTTTAAACAAAATATTCATACACTTCAAGTAGTAAAAAATTCAAGGCTAATAAAGGCTTCAATGCTAAAAATATCTTACAAGAAGACTCGATGCGACTCAACTATAATTAAATTATAATATTTTTTTCAGAATGGCAACAGAACTAGCCCACTTAAATCCGCACTGGAGTGATGAGAAAATATACCAGGAGACAAGGAAAATCATTGGCGCCATGATACAACATATTACTTATCGAGAGTTTTTGCCAATTATATTAGGTATATTGTATAATATTTTAGTTTAACCTTCTTTAATTTGATCCTAGCGTATAAATATATATATGTTAGCCATCGTCTAGATTAAGTAATGCATCCAATTTGAAAGACTTTTTAAATAAATCAGTGGCGCAACCTTTTTAGATCTGGGCCTCAGATTTCTGTATCTGTTTCATGATCATTTGTCAATCTAATAGGCAAGTAGGTGATCAGCCTGTGCCAGACACATGCCGTTCACTTTTTGGGTCTAAGGCAAGCCGGTTTCCTCATGATGTTTTCCCTCACCGTTCGAGCGAATGTTGAATGCGCACATAGAAAGAAAGTCAATTGTTGCATAGCCAGGGATCGAACCTACGACCTCTGCCACTAGGCCAACACGGCTCTAAAGATTTTTTAATTCGAAGATCTAGGCAAAACGACATCAAAACAAATAATTCTAAGGGAATTAAATTTTAATAAATTTATTATTGTTCTAGGCCCGGAGGTGATGAATCTTTTCGAATTAGAGCCTCAGAAGAAAGGCTACTACCGTGGGTACAACCCCAAGATCAATCCAAGTCCAGCGAGTTCGTTTGCATCAGCCGCCTTCCGCTTTGGCCACTCCCTGGTTCAACCTTCAATGATTCGCTTCGACCGCTTCCACAGACCCATGGCAAATAGTATGAGTATTTTGTTTCGTTCCTTAAACGTAAACCCAGTGGCGTAACTATAGGGTGGCTGGGCTGGCAAATTGCCACGGGCCCCCGACCCAAGAGGGCCCTGCCCAAGAGGGCCCCTGCCCAAGAGATATTATGTGAATGTGAAGTCTCCAATATGCTTTGGGCTAGCGTGGGGACTACAGACCATTCCCTCTCGCCTAAGAGAAGAGGCCTATGGCCATTAGTGAGACAAATACAACGTGTAATTGAGTACGCTGAAAACCTCAAGTTTATTAAAATTAAACTGAGTAGGGACGATTTTTACTGATAGGGCCCCATCAAAAGATTTGCCACGTAAGAAGATTTGCCCCCAGATGGTATGGCTACGCCACTGCCTGTTTCATTGTTTTCTTTTGTTTAAATATGTTTTATTTCATTAAACGAAGTTGAAATCTGATCTAAGTATATACATTTTTTGGCTCTATAAAAAGAGATTTATTAATACTTGAATTTAAATAACTGCTAATTTATTGCAGATGTATCACTTCACGATGAGCACACAAACCCATCAAACATCTGGAGTATGGGAGCCGTAGACCGTCTGATGCTCGGTATGATGAATCAGCCCATACAGAAACGAGATGAATTCATCACGGAAGAACTAACCAATCACCTATTCCAAACATCACACTTCGACTTCGGTATGGATCTTGCAGCGATCAACATACAGAGAGGGAGAGACCACGGAGTACCACCATACACGTCTTGGAGGGAGCCCTGTGGTCTATCAACTGTGGAAAACTTCGATGATCTGTCAAGAATAATGCCGGCGAGGGTTGTGCGGAAGATGAAGGCTCTATACAAGTATTTATTTTTCTATGAAACCTAAACAAGTAACATATCGAAATCCACAAATTATAACTTAGGTGATAATTATGTTCACCTTTTATTCATCAGGAACGTCGAAGACATTGACCTCTTCACCGGAGGAATGTCTGAACGGCCTGTCATTGGGGGTCTGGTTGGACCAACCTTTGCGTGTATTATCGCTCAACAGTTCTCAAATTTACGTAAAGGTGATCGGTTCTGGTACGTATTTAACAATCATTTATAATATGAATTAGATCAATTATATTGTATATTACCATATAAAATTTCAGGTATGAAAATGGTGGCAGTGAGTCGTCATTCACCCCAGCACAATTACAACAAATAAGACGAATGTCACTAGCACAAGTACTATGTCGTACGCTTGACACGATTGACAGCATCCAACCTTTTGTTTTCCTTTCTCCTGACAACCCTGACAATAACCGAATTTCCTGCTTCAACAATCACCTGGACAATTTTGACCTCTCCGCGTGGGTAGAAATTAATTCAAATAATGAACTTAGAAAAGCTAACGAAGAACCTTCGACTACCTCTAAGCCAATGAGACCAAAACCATCCACCTCAATCCCTATAACGACAACAAAAAAGCAAAAGATTACGCCAAATCATTCATCTCTTAAAACACATCTGGGAAAAGACGAGACTAAAGTTAAAAAACAGACTCATGTGCTTAATTTGACTGACTCAACGACTAATGACACTGATTCCGTTGAAGATGTAACTCTGAAGGGTATTGACGATAAACTTGACTTTAGAAATAAAACTAAAAGATTTAATGACGATGATATCAACACACGACGCAGTCCTAATAAAAAATATGGATATAATGATAACGTGCAAACTGCACAATCTGTTGTAATCAATAACTTGCCACAAAGACCAAATAGACCGTACTTATCTGTGACTGAAAACATTGACAAATATACTTACCTCATCAATTATGTCCCAAGAACAACTCAGTCTTGGCGGCAGACGACTAGACGAAACTATGACAGAGATGTAGTTAAAGTTACTTACCAGACTTATGACGATACTTATAGACGACCTAATAGACCATACTTTAATAGGGGTGACTTAGACCATGACTATGAATCTAGGAATAACGCACGAGTTGTTACTGAAGTTCAATCTTCAGCTAGATCCAATGAAGACCTTATTACGACTCGACTAACTGATAGACCTATGACTCTGACTGAAAAAACTCCAAACTTTGACTCAACGACAGAAAACTTATACAAATTACTGACTTTTGGCTATGTAGGATCTTACAGGGGTGACTTGACAGAAAAAAATATAAGAAAGGACTTTAATGATGACAAAGTAAGTAAAGATTTTGCTACTAGTAATGAAAAGCAAGATACGGTGACTGACAATGGTGTGAATGCTGGAAAATTATCAACCTTTTTTCTATATGAATCTGCAACCCGACCCTTTAATTCCCAACGTCCAACAAGACATAACAATGACCAAATGACTCGAAATACTAAAACTAAATACTATTACGTAGACAACGTATTAAAGAAATACTCTGACAATGAAAGCCTCCCAAAAGAAAATGACTTGACTAAAAAAAACGAAACAATCAAAGAAAATATAGAAGAACGCTCCGTCCCAAACAAAATTGCTGCTTTAGATGATAACAAGACTGATAGATCAAGAGAACGAGAAAAGAAACCGATGAATTCTGCGAAAACTCCTTCCGTGACGTTCGATATAATTCCTAGTGAGAGCAGGTAGGTGCTGCTATTTGTTTTTTATATCAATTGTTAGCGGTAAAATAATGATAGCATATCTTATCAACCTAGCCTATATTTAAATACCATATATTTAAATATTAAATTAAGCAGTACATTTTAGTTATCAAACCAGTATTTAATATTGTCGTTTTGCGTAAAAACATCTTTTATTTGCAGTCCAACCCAATGGGCGGTTTACGAAGAAAAAGAAGAGTTAATAGATCCCTTACATAACTGGATGCCGGCTGTCAAAACGGACCCACTTTCTCTCAGAGAGCTGCCACGCCCTATGGACTTCTCTGGGAAAAGACGTTTAGGAAGACAATAGAATCATTAAATGATATTTACTGAACATATGTGTAGGTATGCGCAGGTTAGGTGGATATAAATTAAAGATAATTAAATGGCGCGGCAAGAGTGTATTGTAAAATACAACTGCTTTATAATGATGACTGACTGTGACAGATAACTGCAATTTTTGACTGATGACTTATAATGGGGCTTTCAATTTTATTTGGTATTTCTAAATTTCAAGACCTCAGACAAATACAATGTTTTCAACTGGAGTAGATGACTACTTAATGCTTTCATTGACGACTTATGACTAATTGGGATGATATAATGACGCTTGAAGTCTTGGGAGTTGGGTAATTTGGGAGACTGACTTGACTGATCTGACTCTAATTCGACCTGAATTTTACCATAACTATAGCGACTAAATATTATGGATGACTTACGCGACAAATAAAACTAAGTACTTTAAACCTAGTTTTTAGAACAAAGACTAAAAACACTGACTATTTTACTTATGACATTTGATTTCATTTTCTTTATTGCCTATACATGGTGATCAAACTGACTGAATAATATTAGTAATATTGGAAAATATAATTTATGATTAGTGGTAACTTATACAAAGTTTTAAATTGCAATTAACATGCATTTATGTGTAACAATTACCGACTAGACTATTTGATAATAGAACCACCGAACCAAACTTCTATAACTCTTCCCAATATATAAATAGTTTGTTTAAAAAAAAACAAGTTTTTTCGATAATATTTATTGAAAACTAATAATGTGTTAACAATCAGATCATATTAATTTCATTTTAACATAGAGGTTCATTTATCTAGAACCTTAGACATATAAGTATATTAAATAAAAATAATACAATAAATCACTGTATTTTTATTTTATACCTTCGGTAACATAAATATCTTAAATTATCATTACTGTAAGTACAATTCACATAATTTAAATCTACTTACTATATATTTTGGATCAAATTAGACAATTGAAATATAAAAAAATATTCACATGTTATATCATAGCAAAATATAAGACTACAAAAACATTTAGAATAAATACAGATCATGTATGTTGTACATTACAATAGATCTTTATGTAATATAAAATATAGTATCAGCCAGATTAATCTCTCTCGGGGTAATACTGCTGTAGAGACTTGCTTAGCTCTTGAGCAAGTTCAGCAGTTGCAGCACATAAAACCCTACGAGACAAAAGGTCTAGAGGTCCTCCTGCTGGATCAATGCAAACTCCACCTGCTTCACGAACAATAATATCTCCCGCAGCTATGTCCCAAGCATGAATACCAAACTCAAAGTAGGCATCACTCCCTCCTAAAGCCACATTTGCCATATTCATAGCAGCAGAGCCTATTGTTCTGACACCATGTCCCTTCTCTACTAGAGTTCTAAAATTTTCAAACATAACTCTCAATCTTTCAGGATCACGAGAGGTCCCTGCTTCAAATGATATCAATGCTTTACTCAATTCTTTCGTTTGTGATACATGTATAGGCTTGTTATTTAAAAATGCACCATTACCTTTTTTAGCAGTAAATAATAGGTTAAGGACCGGGTTATAAATAATGCCAGCGACACATTCTTTGTTAATAGCTAGACCAACAGAAATACAGCTTTGGGGATAACCATGAATGAAGTTTAGTGTGCCATCTACAGGGTCAATAATCCACGTCGGGTCGTCACTAAGAACACACTGACCGCCTTCAGATACTGTTTCTTCTCCAATAAACTTATGGGTAGGAAAGTTTTTTGACAAACCATCCATTAGAGTCTTTTCTACATTTTTATCTACTTCAGTGACTAAATCGATATCACTGGATTTCTGTTCATAGGCTTTGCAACCATTTCTAAACTCTATTATAAGGTTTCCTGCGGATTTAACTAAATCAAGAGCTGCGTCAAAGTATTCATCGATTTGGTCCGACATCGTGAATTCACTAGAAATATGTTTTAGGATACACTCCTGGGCACTCTGGTAATTGTCCCTTATATATTGTAGTTCGTGTCAATTTAAAACCGCAAACCAAGCAATTACCGATGACTAAAGGCCGCTATCACAAACGATATTTTGTATATATTTATAATAAGAAAAAACACAAGGATAATAAATTTGTAGGATACAGTCTAATATAAATAAACGATTCATAAAACACAGATATTAAGCGAAAATTATAATAAACTGCGTAAAAACACTAATTTGCATTCTCGATTCTAGTAAAATTAATCAAATCAAATCAATCATTACAATTCACAGATTGTCGAATGTCGATTGAATAAAATTTCGATAATTGTAATTGTCAAGTCACAACTCTCATTTCTCAATGCGATATGCACTAAAATATTGTGTCAACTGTCATATAGACCATAATATAGACTATAGAGCAAAGTAGTACTAGGGCCCATTAGAATATCAAGTCTTGTTTCAGATTACAAAACATTTAAAACACTTTAATATGAGCACTTTTCTTCTACAATTTACTGTAATCGAAAACTATTTTCGTGAAAATATATAGTTATATCGTAGACAAGTCCTGTATTGATGATAAATCGTTAAAAAGGGATTTAAGGTATAAGGTTATGGTAGAGCATGGTAGTTTAAATAAAACAAAAATTATTAAAAATCATGAAAAATTGTTTAATTGGCATACCAACCGATAACTTGTTACAACCTATGGCCAATTTTACAATTATCAATATTGTTAATAATTAAATATAATATTTATGTAAAATATGTTTATGCTTCAATGGTTTACTTACATTTAAATTTTATATTAATCAGAAAACTTCATAATAAAAAAGAGGTCAATAAAATTAAGACTCGGGTATAATAACATATAAAATGCGAAGATACAAAGTTTATCGTTTGTTATACAATATTGGTTAGCGCCCGCCCGTGACGCGGACGCAGCGGCGCCACGTCGAGAACCAAAGGCCACGATATCTTTCTAACTTATCTAAATCTAAATAAAGCAAGCGGTCCTAGCGCACACTTGTAAGTGATAATACCACAATGTATAGAGTCGGCTCCGACGATCGATTCGGTTCGAGCCGGTTTCCCAAACGGAAATCCTTTTCCTTTAAATAGAATCATTACGCCCATGACAAATGTTACGGGAGCATAATCCTCATCGATCGCCAAAAGCTGGCCATCGCCGATTATTTACATAGACGGCGGATGGCGCCGGACTAAGGAAATTTAAAACCCACCGCGGACGCGTCGGCCGCGGCCTCGAGCCTAGATTATTTTCTAGTAAGTACAAAAGTGTTAAACGTCCACCGACGCGTCCGTTCACACCTTACAACTAGCTTTAATAATTTTATGGCAACTAAGCGCTCAGTGGATGACACTGATACTTATATACACGATGTTAGAGGTGCGTCCTCTGGCTACGATTTCAATGTCAGGTGAATAAAAAACAGTATTGTCGCAACGCCCAGTCTCGACGTCGGTCAGTAAATGCGACGCCGATCCCCTCTGCCACTAATACTTTTACGACCGAATTATATAAAAAATTTAAACTACCACGAAAATAAGTTACTAATTGGTAACGTGCAGACAGAAATTAGTGAATTTTGTTAGAGTATAAATAAGAGAGGTTCGATTGAGAAATAAAACGGTTAGTAACTCAGTTTCGCGGTAAAGCTACAATATCACGCAGTAACAACCAACGCTCGACCAAGTCGAAGCGATGGAACTCGATACTTTAGGAATGTCTCGATATTAATACTGGTAGGGGTGAACCGAATCGGCTAATTTTCAATAGAAATTGTAATAGTCTAAACATTATTCAAAAATACCGTTTCATCTATGGCAACCCTGAATTACTTCTAAAAGAGATAAAAAATTGAGCACCAGGTCACGATCAAACGAGTTTGGGGTTTACAAAATTTTCAATTCTAACGCAGAGTTGTCAAAACCTCATGTATACACAATTGTCATCGCATTTCATATTAAACAATATACAGAACACAATTTCGCTTGTCTTCAAAACTACTCGATTAAATAGTAATCGGCAAGCGACTGACACGCGACGGGCAATTTCAATCGCAGATACAGAGGCTCCCGGTTTCGCTTAAAGATACGTTTTTGATACAATTTGCGTACGGACGAGCGAACAATAAATAATTTCGAAACTAACCTAACATCAAACAGACTACGCTTTTAAGCTTATAACTTTCTCAAAGACCCGGGTCTTTCTCCAAAACGATTAAATTTTAAACAGTAACATAAGGGTAGAGATGCCGCTCGTCCGAGCTCGCTCGTTTACTCGAGACTGTTGGCCGTATCGTTCACGTCATCGAACGATTCGTCTCCGGAGGCGTGGCCCGGCGCCAAAGAGGACCTCTTCACGCGAGTGGATGAAGACGCGCCCGACAGGCCGATGGCGCCACCGCCTTGCCTTCTGAAATACATGGAAATCTATTATAAACAAATATTAACATTTAATCGTGAAAAAGAAATTGTTATATAGTATATAGTAACAATATTGGAATTTAGTCTAGTGAAGAGTGGAGTGTCTACGAGTACAATAGAAGTTACAGATTAATTCATTTAAATATGTGTTCTTGATAAAAAGAAATTGATAAAAATTTAACTGACTTCATGTCAATTGAATTCACAAATAATGTAATTATGTAAACAAGTACACATTTACATTAACTACCAAGAACTGACAAAAAACTTTCCGCCACTCTTTTTAATCGCTAAGTTTTGAGTTATACAAAACAAATAACAGAATACATAAAAATTATAAGAGATGCAACGGGCTGCCTTATCGCTAACAAGCAATCTCTTCCAGGCAACCCTAGTAGGGGAAACTAAAAAAAGAAATGTGATAGACAAAGCAAAAAGTTCAAAATCAAATAAAAAAAATATTATAGAATCTTAATATAAGATAATATTTTTTTTTTTAAATTATTTATATGATTTAGCACATGTGTGCTTAGAAAGAAGCCTTCCTATCCAATTCCAACAATATCACAAAACAAACAAACTACTATTTTTGAAGTCGGTCAAAAAGTAATTGTTATGTGTTACAATAATTATTCAATTTAAATCATAATGCATAGAAAAATGTTAAATTAAATAGGTAAAATACCTAATGTGTATAGCCAAATGAATTTGTTAAGTATATTATGTGAGATAAAATGTTATTAACAAATGAATGCCAAATTGTATACAAATGTAATTGACACAAAATGTGAAACAGCCAATTCGTACCTACCCTTCACGTTTTGATTACATACAAACATATTAATAGCGAGTTTTGTTATATCGCTTAAAAAGCTGAACCTTCATTCGCACTGATAAATCACTGAAACTAAATTCATCAAAAAATATCATTCAAATCAGTCCAAAGATGAAACTGCTTCAGTTTTAATGAATAAAGTTTTTTTTTCATAATTAAAATAAAATCAGAAGAATATTGAACTTGAATTGATATTTTTTTATGAATAATTTAAGCGATTAAATATGGCTAATAAATTCTGTTAGGTATAAGTTTAGAACAGTGCGAATGTCGGTACAATATCGGCTTGTTACCTCTGGGTCGTAGGGAGCTAGTCGCTATCCTCTGGCAACGTTGGCCTACACAACATATTCATTTACCTTCTTATTATACTTTATGATTTAATATATAAAAAGCTATATTTTTAACGTTAAAATGTTTAAGTATTACTTTTGTAAGAGTACTCACGTACTTAAAGGAAACAATCATAGAAAAATCAAGATTGAAAAGGTAATGTGTGCCTATACAGTAATTCCCCCTATAACGCAATATAACGCGAAGAAAAAAATTATGCTTCTGTAGAGTGAAATTTATAATGATTCGTCAAGTCCATAATTAGCTTTGCATACTTTTGCACCTTTAATTGTGTTGTTATAAAATTAAACTAAATAACTTAAAAATTAAATTAAATTCGTGTTCCTACTTTTTGAATTGTTCAAAAAAACGTTGCTTTACAAGAATTTTCCTAAAACGCGATTTCCTATAACGCATTGTAAGGGACTTTACTGAATTAGCAAAACCTGCAATTTCATATTGTAAACCAATTATAATTAAATAATTCAAATTAATCTCGATCCTTCGGTCGACGGAGAAATAATTAAAGAATCAGACCTGAATCAATATTGCCATCTGATAGCTTAAAGATTTTGTCCTTACACGTTACGTTAATAGCGTAATAATATATTTGAATAATGTAATGATGTAGTGATACAACAATATAAGAATTGATGATTGAATTGAACTATAATGATCACTCACATACACTCATAATGTAATTTATAACTTCTATGTAAAATTTTACATTTTTAGGCCAAATTTGCACGCCATTATATGTAGCAGAATGTTCGAACTTTAGATTTGTACCATATTCTTGCAAATAAATTATTATTATTATTATAAAGATGCATTTGACAAAACATTATAAACCTACTTGGCCTAATTCTTAAGCCTCTGGAACCAATTTTATAATATTTCCCTACAATAACGTACCTGAGCTTGTTCCGCAGATTGCTGCACTCCCTGGCAATGGTCTCGTGGGTCTCGAGCAGGTCCTCATACTCGCGCTGAGCTTTTCTTTTGCCGACTTTCTCACGCTGCACCTCCTCTTCGGACTCGTCCAGTTGACGCTTCAGAGCCTTTACGCGGTTGTTCATCTGAAATAATCATGACAATTGTGAGAATAAATACAAATATTAATTATGTTTACATGAAATAATATAGCAACTCTCCAACTATGATGATGGTATTCCTCGCTTCTCACGTAACCCAAAGAAACAAAAGTTTTTAAAGAATAATACAATTGTTTATCAAAAAACCCAGAATTTCTGTACCTTCTCGATCTGCTCCTTGTACTGATCAGCGTGTCTCCTTTCTTCATCCAGCTGCAGCGCCAGCTCCTTCATCTTTTTGTCCAGTTTCCGGGATGCCTTCTGCTGGGCCAATCGTTCGCGACTCTCTGCTTCCAGTTGCTCTTCTAGATTCACCACCTTCAGCTCAAGGGAGGTAATCACGCCCTGTAAAATGAAATATGCAGATTAAATTAAAGCTTCCAAATTCGACAAAAGTATCCTTAGGACAAACAATTTGTTATTTTTGTCAAATAAGACAATTTTTTTTTAAATTTTGTTAGGTTGCCAACGTTCAGCACACTGGTACATAAGAAAAATTAAATACAAGATTTAATGTAGCAAGCACTAGGCAAACAAACAAACACAGAGAAAAAATACACTGATTCATAAATTATAAAAACTAAAGGAAAATTAATATCAAACTGTGAGGGGAGCAACTGTGGATATACATATATACTTTTTAATCGTAACTATTGCATTCTTGAAAAAAATAATTTTACCATTTAATGTGATTGTGTAACGTGTATTTGAAATTTAAAAAAAATGTGTGGCACTCGGGGACTGCCGCGGTCAAGCTATTGCATAGCATTTTTTATCAACTTACGCAATTATAATTATTTATTATTTTTTTATTTATGCAGAATTTTTATTCTTTGATATTAATTCAAGTGTTTTCTTTGATATTAATTCCATAACCTAGCACTCTACCAGACTCAGACTAACACCCCTATATAGTCTGTCTCACTCTAATGCGTACCGGCTGCACCCGATGTGAGACGTCACGTTACGTCATCGTGTGTTAGGTTATTTTCGTTACGGAATTTCTGGATTCGGTCTCCGCGCTCGAGGCCCGCGATAGAAGCTATGCAATAGCTTAATAAATAGACATTACTAACTACAGAAGTAATAATCTAATTATGTATATTCATACTTTTAGTACAAAATATGCACATTTTGCTACTGCTTTCCCTACAAATTATTCGCAAAATTGAAAATAAAACAATTCAGGGGCATACCTTAGTCTTGGCGCGTCCAGCAGTCTCGAGTTCGGCCAGCTTGGCCTTGAGCTCCTTGTTTTGCCTCTCCAGCACCAGCTTGCCGCTTTCCAGCTTCTGCGTTGCAGACTTCTCGGTGCCCAGCTCCATCGTCAACTGCTCGATTTGGTTCTGGAATATACGAGGTCCTTTTTATATCCGAATCGATTAATTTACCGAAAATAATGAGTATTACTGACTATGTTGTTAAAAATTTAATGGTTTTTTGAAGTGAAACTTCTTTAGGGGCATGAAGGTAAAATTTTTACGGAACGTCACGAAGATGTGCAGCGTTTTTGTCGAAGAAAAAGGATAGAGCAATTGAGACCGATTGAGAGAGAGTGAGAAGGGCGAATCACCTTATAGAAATTCTATTTTTAAAATAAAATTTCGTAAAGAGAATTTATGAAATATTAGTATTTTATATTTTATGCAAAACAATTTACGGAAATCTCAAATGACGAATTGTAAATTAAAATGTTTTTATTATGAAAGAAATAAATTAAATTTATTATTTGTATTAGTAAACACTTAACGTACGTTATCTCGTAATAATAAATTTGATAATTTTCAAAGATATTTGTATTAAAAAGCTTAAAAAGTGAATCCAAAATAATACCTGTGATTTCCTAAGTCTGTCATTGAGTATCTCGTTGTTGGACTGTTCCTCGTCTAGATCCTCTTCGAGTGCTGCAATTCTGGCTTCGAGACGTTTCTTTTCGTCGACTAGCAGCGTCACCTGGAAAACATTTCAATCAATATTAAGACAATACGAGAATTTTATTTACATTTAAAATTAGTCAGAAATGGCGCCAATAAATTAAAACGGAGAAGAAAGTGTTTCTTATTTATTTACACACAAAAAATAAATATGTACTGTGCAGAAAGAGAGCTGCCATAGTTATGCAAACTATATTCTTATTTGTTATTTCATTTATTCTCAAAAATTATATACTTTTATTTATTGAGTAGCCGCTGCGAACTTCGTTTCGCCTTAATATTTTTTTTTACTTAGCCTACCTTTTTAGAAGCTCTATACCAATATGGGACATTTTGGTATGATATCCCATAGAGTTCCCTTGTCCAGAATTAAAACCTAAGCACTAAATTTTCTATTTATAAATTTTCCTAAAACCCTCAGAATTCAAGGAATAAAAAAAAATACTCGATTTGTCCTACCCTCTTCTTAGCAATAATTTCGATTTATATTTATTTATATGCATTACGTATCAAGTCGTACTGTACAACTATAATGACGTAACAATGCGACCTCGAAGCTTTTTGTCCGCCCTTTACCTTCGCAGCGGCAGCGGTGAGCTCGTCGTCTCGGTCGTCCCTCTCGCACTCGGCATGTCTCCGCGCCCTCTCGGCTGCGGCCAACTCCTCCGCGTGCTGGAGAGCTTCGGCCTCGAGCGCCTTCACTCGTCGCTCGGCCTCGCGCGCCTGACCGGCGCTTTCTTCGCGACCGGCGCGAGCTTCCTCCGCCTCGCGGACGGCTTCCTTGAGCTGGACCGTTAGCTTCTTCGCTTGTTTTACGGCGTCCTCTTTCACCTGCAAGAGATATTTATCATCTACACGTCACCAGATCAAAATATAAATATAGTTAATTTGTATTAACGTATATATCTATATATACGGTAAATTACTATATCATAAAAAGTGATGCATATAATATTTTGTAGGCTTTTTAAAAGTAACTATTTTCTCATGGCCGATCTCGTTTTTAGTCAATTCTGAACGGTCACGGTCAATCTATTTATTCATATATAATACATAATATATGAAATATACACCATTTTAAATATACTGTCATATATAGTTTAAATTAACGCAATTTTGGAAATTGTTGATCCCCTCCATGTAACGCACCGTGACGTCTTACAGTAGAACGCCCTAGTAAAAAATTACGAGACCATCAAGTGACCATTATTGTCCTCAAAATCACAATTATGATACTATACTTACTACAAAGCAAAAAATACTTGAACACATTCTAATAACATTAATTATACTTCCCATATTAATAACATATTCAACATATTATCAAATAATAAAGATTTTTACCTTGTTAGCCAGATGGAGCGCTTGTTCGGCGTCCTTGAGGTCTCCCTCGAGTTTCTTACGATTCGCAAGCGAAGCGGCCCTTTGCTTACGTTCCTCTTCGAGCTCAGCTTCCAAATCACGAAGCTGCTTCACGATTCCCCGACGTTTCTCTTCGCCTTGTTCTTCTTTCGCCTGGCAAACAATATTAGCAATATTTATACTCCTCAATACGAAATAATTATAACATGAACTAAGCCTCCAAAAATCAGTAATAATTAACAAAAAATAGCATGGCAATTGCTTTTTGTAAAGGAAAATAAGAGAAGAAACTTAAGCCATTTTGCAAGTATGTTTCTCTTATTAGTACACTAAATGTAGGCAAAGCTGAAATTGCCTTAACAATAAACTCGCTAGAAAATTTACAAAACATAATATATATTGTATATAATTATAATGCCTTAGTAGATATTTCCAACCACGACTTCTCAGAAAAAATATCAAGCTTTTTCTATAGAAAACTCTCCTGCGATCGGTCTCCTTATTTTCAAGTGGAAGATTCTTCTAAGAATATTTGGCCCTGTTTGCGACGACAGTGTTTGGCGTATTCGCTACAATGAAGAACATGACGTACACCGAATGGCGGACAACAGAACCCCGAGGTTCTTACTGAACTCATATCAAGAAAAAACCGACCGAACCGGTAGACCGAGGCTGAAGAAGAAGCACGAGATAGATTGTGATGGCGAATTATACTCAAAGAGGCTTAGGGCCCAGGCTGCCACATAATGATGATGAATTATTAGATATAAATTTTCTTTACCTGTAAATCCCTTTCAAACTGCGTTCTCATAGCTTGCATGTTAACTTCTAGACGCAACTTGGCATCTTCTGTGAGTTGCAAATCGTCTTCTATCTCCTCGTTCTGCGCCTTCAGTTCCGCCAGCTGAGACTCCAGCGCACGCTTGGCCTTCTCCAGTTCGTGTACGTTCTTGTCGGCCGTGCCTTGGGTGTTCGCCAGTTCGTCCAACTCAGATTGTAGGAGACGTTTCGAGCGTTCTAACTCTTCAATCTGTAGAAAAATTAACAATATTCGTCTTAGTAGTATTAATCCTATTTTATATCTGTAAAAACTACTTTTTTTATTTACAACAATTTGAGTCTTTTATTTTCGAGTATAACATTAGTATATAATTTTTAAAATCTAATTTATAAAATTCTCGTGTCACAATGTTCGTTCCCATACTCCTTCGATTCTTATTGAATTTTTTATACATATTCAGTAAGTCTGAGAACCAGGGTTATATAAACATATACAACCCTTAATTGTCACCCCTCTACGATCAACCCCTAATTTTTTTGTTGGTTGTAGACCAAACTTTTTTTTTTATTTTAAAAATACAAACCTAATGTTTCCTAGAAATAATATAAAATTTGGCAAGTTATTTTTATTAAAACGACATTTGCGGGGTCAGCTAGTAATTAATAAACTTTTATTTATGATAAATAGAAATACCTTCTCGGCAGCATCATCGAGTTCCCTGGTGAGACTAAGCACGCGGGTCTCCTTGTCTCGTGCGTCCCTTTCGGCCGCATCACGCTCCGCTGCGTAACGCTCCGCCACGCTACGCTCTTCCGCCACAACCTGAAAGTAAAAAAAATCAATTAAAATGTACGTGTTGAAAGCGTTTTAATATCACTACGGAAGACGTTGGAATAATACAAACCTTGTGTAGTTATGACAAACTTTAGAACAAATAAATCAATATAAAAAATTATCTGTATATATAATAAACAGAAAATGGTCACGTGACACAAAACACTCACGGACCTAGAATATTTCAAAGTAATACGGTTGAACCCTAATAACGTCCTGAATTTCGTGTGAGACTATTTTTGATCGAATCATATGTGTGAATGTGTAATTTATGAATGAAAATTGACATCAAAACGTCGTCGTACATACGTCATAGGGACTGACGTGCCATAATCTCGCCTAGTGAAGCATTTTAGCTGGTTCAAAAAATAATATATGTAATTTGAATTATTAAAGAATATTTAACAAAATTAAAATATTATCATAGAGCCCTTCGTCCATATATACAGATCATAGTATCGTACAAATTAAATTAATCAAAATATAAGTAACCTTATCAAAGCTCTTCTGTTTCTTCTCCAGCTCCAGCACCTTGGCTCGTTGCGCCTCAAGATCTATGTTCGTGTCTTCCAACTCAGCTTGGATCTTCTTTTTACCTGATAACACAATAATAAAATATAATTTTAATTTTGTTTAAACTTTTATTCCATTACATATTTGTCACTGCCCCATGCTCCAGCGATTAAAACAACTTGACTTGACCATGAGTTACATTACACGCTTGAAACGAACCGAATGGGAAAAGGGATTTTTTTTTATATCATTATTTTTTTAATTTAATTTTTTTTTAATTATTGTTATTGTGTGTGTGTTTTTTTTAATAATATGATATGTCTATGTCTAGATAAAACTTGATTAGTTAAATATAATACCAATTTTAGTTAAATACGAAGTAGTCGCAAAAAATAATAAACACAAGATATTCAACTCAACTCAAAATAACATTATTAATATAGGTAAACAAGTACACTTATGAACGTCAACAGAAGTTAAATTAAAAAATATTAAACCCCCCCGGGTTTAAACCCCATAAAGGGAAATTTTTGGTATAAAGAGTCCCTACGGTGGTCAATAATCGTCCAATGTACTGGCGGCGCGTTTAATTGCGTGACGTAATACTTTGGGAGTTAGTTGTAAAAGCAATACATATAAAACACGTACTCTTGTCCAGCTTGTCGTTGGCCTGTCGCAACTCATCCAGCTGCCTGTGCAGGGCTTCCATGTCCTTGCTGAGCTTCTTGCGCTGTTCCTCGAGTGCCGCCGCCACCTCCGCCTCCTCTTCCGCCTTCTTCTTGGCGTCTGCCACTTGCTGGGTCAATGCTACCACCTGGAAAATTTTGAGTTAGTTTTGACTTATATTGCGATAAAAATTAACAAATAAATATTTGTATAACAATAATATAAATCAGTGGCGCTACACCTTTTTAGGTTTAGACCTCAATCAATCTCATACGCACGTAATGGATCATGGAATCCAACGATTTTTTTTTCAAGGTTCGGGCGAATGGTTAATGCGCACATAGAAAGAAAGTCAATTGGTGCAGCCGGGAATCGAACCTACAAACTCAGGGATGAGAGTCGCACTCTGAAGCCACTAAGCCAACACTGCCTTTTGTATTTCCTTGGTGTGACAAAATAAAAAGTTACAAACCTGCTTCTCAAAGTTCCTCTTGGCCTCTTCCTCTTCCTCCAGCTGGTCTCTGGCTTGCTCTAACTGTTGCTCGACGTTGCGCAGACGGGTTTGAAGAGCTAACTTCTGCTTCGTCTCTTCTTCTAAGAGAGCCTGTAAGACAAATTTATTTATTTATTAAATTTAATAATTTTATTATATTATGTCGAAAAAACCAAGCATTTTGGTATAAGTATTTTTTTAAATTATGATCGACAATAAATACCGCTATGAAGCAATTTTTCTACAAAACTTGCCCCATGCCCCAACAGTCATACCTGTGCCTCAGCGTGCTGTGCCCCAGCGGTCGCAGCATGTTTTGCAGCGGCCGAAGCCTTCAACTCTGCCTGTTCCAGCTGCTGCAGAGCTTGTTCAGCTTCGCTCTGGAGTCGGATACATTTCTCTGATACTTCAGACCTGAAAATACAATTCTGGTATTGCAACTTGATATATACTTTTTTGCAGAACTTAATAACTAGTTTAACATGGTCAGAGGCCCCAGTAGTTCGTCCTAGCTCCAGCTGGATCGACAGCGTAGGGGAGGACTTCCCGCAGCTGAAAGTCGGTGGGAGGTGGTATAGGACAGGGAGCGCTGGAATATTCTCATTTCGGAACCCAAGGCAATTTTTGAGTTGCAGCGGAATGAGTATGTGATGAATAAGAAGTTTCTTATATTTTACTTCCATTTAACTATTTATATATCAAAAAGATTTATTTCGAACCTTCAGTAGTCCTTTCAATAAATGTATTCTACCCGCACTAATTATAACTAATTACAACACACAATGTTACACAAACAGTACTGACCTAGTCCTCTCGACTTCTTGCAGTTTGGCGACGAGTTCCTGAAGCTGCGCCTCCGTTTGCTTCCTGCGTCTTTCTCCATCTACCCGAGCGGCACTTGCGCTCTTCAGCTCCGTCGCGAGATCTGCGTTTTCCGCTTCCAGCTGCTGCTTGGCTTTCTCGAGAGCTGGAACATTTATTTCAGGATATTTATTACAAATCATCAAAGTATACATATGTGAAATTGCATACTGAATGAATAAAATAAATAAAAAGGTGTTTGTATATACTATAACAATGCATGACAATGTGTAAGATTTTAAGTAATAACAAGTCTTCCATAGCAAACTTAATATTTTTTTTCCAATTAGGATTTTTATTTTTTTTAACTGTTTACAACAAATACGCAAAAAGCATTGCGCGACGCGTCACACGCGTGTGTGTATGTGTTAGTGTGTGGATGCATGTGAGTGTGTGTGAATGAAGAAAATATAAAGAAACAGAAGAGTGAATTTATTACTAGTTATATATATAATAATTAAGTAACTTTATATATATAATAATATATAATAATTAATATATAATATATATAATATTTGTTAATTATTATAAATAATTGACCGATTTTCGAAAAATTATTCAATAGTATCAGCCCTATAAACTTTTACTTGCCAAGGATCGTTCGTTGAATTAATTACTTGAAGATAGCGTAAGAGACTCTTTTATATAGATCGTACACCACTCTTCACAAAAATCAACAGCAATATTAAAATATGTACAGCATAATCTAATTTAAATATTAGCAACTTATCGCTGTTACCTCCTGTATTAAGAATGTAAAGAAGGCAAACTAGAATGAAAGGTCGGGTCTCGCAAGCAATTGCTCTCCGGCTCGCCCATGAATATTGTAAATATTACCGATGTAGCCGGGGCGAAGCTCGCCAGACGCAAAAATATATTTATGACATGAAAAAAAATTCACTAGCCATTATTTGCAAGGGAGTAGATCGGAAAAAAACCTTCTGCAGACTAAAATATGAAATGCCTTCAAAACTATACTGACACTATGATAAGCAAATAAATAAATATCTACTTTTGCACATGTTTACGTAAAATATTACAATGTATGGCCAAATCGCTTTTATCAGGAGGCGACTCCTGACACCTGTGCTGCCAATAATCCCTCGTCGAAGTGAAAGTCACTTCCTCCCCCGGCCACGATTTCTCCACCTCATAATTATCATCCTTCGACAGACCGAATGTTACATTTTTCCGTCTACGTTCCGGTTTAGCCATTGTATAAAAAAATTACATTAAAAATTTACAAGATAAATACACATAAAAGACTTTGCACAATTTGTGAAATTGTCACAATGGCGACTGCATTTCGAATAAAGAAGTATTTTGATGGCCAGTGAATACATACAGATAAAGCAAAAATATATATCCTATGCTAATTATGCATATAAATAAATATATACGATAGTATCTAGAAACTATCTAATATTGTACCTAGGATTTATACAGGACCTCCTCAGACTATGGGATATCAAGGGAAAGTACCATAAATATCGTAGACAGGATATGTTGGTGAAAGAAGACTTTATTTTGAAAAGTAAGTATTACTGCATTCAATGAATTTCTGAAAAGTACTTGTCTCGTCTGGGAATCGAACCAACTCAAATGTGAAACAAAACACTCCTTATTTTTGATGCCAATTAAGTGGATGGACAAAAAATAACAAATCTTCTTAAGTATCATAATATTTTGAAAGAAAGGAACAATGTAAAATTTTTGAGTCAAATTTCAAGAATATTTAAGATACTTCCCCTTGATATCCCGTAGTCTTGGGACACCCTGTATATGTGTTATTTATGATTTAATCACATGAAACAGTAATGGCCATAGAAAACATACTACACTTGAATAAACTGAGAATAAAGTATTAAAGTTTTTTTTCCTAAAGTTCAGGTGTTGGAAGAAAATTTTTTTTCCTAATGACATAAACATTTCATAAATAAGGCTTTTAAGTAAAAAATTTTTTTTGAAGTTATACTTCTTTTGGCGCGTTAGGGAAAATGATGAGAGTAAATTTTTACGTTTTGCGCTCACACCGTCACAAAAATCGACACCCTGAATATCTGTTCAAACGTCGGTAAAACAGGGCCGCTAGTTGCTTGCTCTGTTTTATCGACAAGATGCATTGCCGCATACACGAATTCAAGTACGACCAGTCACCACAAGCAGCACCCATTCACGAGCATGACGCATGGCCAGCCATCGGCCCCCTCATCGGCCATATTTTAGGGAGAGAGACAACCCGACGCATGGACGCCGCCACAAGCAATGACATTTAAGCGAGCATGACGATCCTTGATTAGTATATATTACATCGTTTCGATTGGAAGTGACCATTAAAATGGACAAGAAAAATGCAATTCGAAGAGGGAAACGTCCCTCTAAAGTGCTCGAAGAAAATTATTACACCAAAGAAGTATAACTTCTAACGCGTGTAATGTACACACACGTTTTTGAATGTATTTTGATTACGTTCCGCCTATATAAATATAAATATAACTGGCCGTTCTCGTCTCTCTTTAGTACAGATGCTGACTTACCAGCTTTGGTCTTCTTCATCTGCTCGTGCTGCTCGTTGAGCAACTGCAGCTCCTGCGAGTGCTTGTGCCTCTGTTCCGCGATGGTCGCTTCGTGAGAAGAAGCCTCTTCTTCTAGACTTCGCTTCAGAACTGCCACCTCTTGCTCGCGCTTCGAACGGAGCTCTTGTTGGGCTGAAAATATGAATTATTTATTTTGTATAGCTTATATTATATTTATATTTTTTTACGGAGCTAGTTATCAGAAACGGTAAGTATAAATTGCTTACGAAGCAGCCTTCATTTATCCAAATTATATTTTTTTTATAAAATGTATATGATTTCAGCCTAAATTTGTTAACATATAAAATAAGCCTGACAGAGATGCTATACCTTCAACAAACACAAAAACATACAGAATATATATTTCAAACTGTAAAAATAATGTATATACAGAAGCATACTATGTGATTAAACAATCATACCTAATGTAATTATGTGAAATAAATGAATAGATTTAACTTTGGCATACTAACATATAATATATTAAAATGTTTCAAATCATTAAACTATTTTAATTATATTTAAAATTACGCAAACTAATATATAATAATTCTTTAATTCATCTATCTTCCGGTCCACGTTCATGGGAAATAAAAAAAATTCTCACCAGCAGTCGTATCGAGCGAGTCCAACAGCTCGCTCTTAAGCGCCTCCAGCTCCTCGTTGAGGTCCCTTCGCAACTTCTCCGCCTTAGTTCGTGCATTCCTCTCCGCTTCCAGGTCGTCGTGGGCCTCCGCGAGGGCCGCTTCGGCTTCCCTCGCCCCTTTCTGCGCAGACGCACGTAGGGCACTCTCCTCATCTGCGCGACTGATGGCCGCTGCTAGTTCCTCTTCGCGTTTTGCTAAAAATAAATATACAACATTTGTAACATAAAGACCAAAATAATATACAAATTAAACTATAAATTTAAAAGTAAACTACGCTACATAATGAACCTTTAATTTTTTTTTTAATTAATGCTTTAATTTTCGTGTTATATATTAAAATAAATATATTAATAGATATGGATGGATATTATGTTAAAAAAGTACTAGACTGTCTATGTTTCACTTCCCCTACAGCATATATAAATATACACCTCATACAAAGAGATAAAAAACACTAAATTTCTACTCACTGAGTACAATCTGCAACTCTTCAATCTGCGCCTTCTTTTCAACGAGCTGCTCCTTCACATCTTGCAACTCAGTCTCTATCTTCCGCTTGGCTCTCTCTACTTCTTGTCTCATTTGATGATCCTTTAACAAAGTATTTTCAGTAATAAAATATTTAACCATTCAGTTATTTAAAAAAACAATCCTTTCCTAACAGGTGACTCTAAATCGACAAGAATGCATAACCAAAAAGAAACAAAATCAAACATAAAATATAAATGATGAAAAACAAAATTATGCAATAATAAAATTAAAAAAATAACTTCCATACACTAACAAATAATATAACTTTTGTCAGTTCACTCAACAGACAATGAAAAAGGTCCGTTAACCTATGTATATATTAACTAATGTAATACAACAAATCGTATGTTCCCTTCTCCTTCCCTCAGAAGGTTAGTCCTAGATGTCCGTCTGACACCACCATCAGGCACATTTAACAATTGTACATCACAAGCGCGAATTCTCCCCGAAAATTCTGAAGTTAAAAAAAAAAATTTCAATATACCTTAAGAAGTTTCTCTTCTAATTCAGCGATGGCCGACTCTTGTTTCGTCTTGAGTTTGCTCAAATGTTTCGCCTTCTCCTCTTCCTCTGCTAAGGCTTGAGACAGGTCGTTGGCACGCTCTTCCAGTAACTGAAAATCATATTATAAAATTAGAACATTACCAAACTAAATATCTTAAAATACATTATTTGCTATAAAATCATTATTTCTCTAATAAGATAAATTTTATTTGGATTTAGTCAAACAAAATTATAAATAAATTGATATTAAGGCGTAAAATTTGCATTTTAAAATTCGGTGTCTGAATACCTTCTTTTCCTTGGAGAGTTTCTGATTGGTGTCCTCAGTGAGAGCGAGTTCCTCTTCCAACTTCTTAAGTTTGGCATCACACTGCACTCGCTCCAATTGCAATTTCTGACGAGCGCCTTCTTCTTCTTCTAACTGCTCCTCCAGATCCTGAAAGACCATTAAAATATGATAAGTTACTGAAAAATAATCATTATAAATTGTACATAAAAGAATTTATTTACAACTTCGTATATATTATTAAATTAACAAAGAGATGAGACAGAGCAACTCACCTGTATATTAAGCTGCAACCGCTTCTTCTCCTGTTGAAGAGCGTTACACCGCTCCTCCTCCTCCTCGATCCGACCTTCCAAATCGTGCAGCAGCTCTTCCAACTCCTGTTTTCTGGCTGCGGCACGCGCTCGACTTTCTTCGGCCTCAGCACATAGTTCTAATTCCGCCTGAAATTCAAATTTTTTATTGAGATGTAAAATTCAAATATCACAATAAACATGATTTTATTTTTAAAGTATCTTTTATCAGAAAGTTCAAATTAATTTGAGAAATGATACTGTTATATGATTTGTTTTTATTTTCTTCTGATTAACTGTTAAACATCGTCAAAACTGACCTGCAGTTGTTCTGCAAGTTGGGTCTTCTCAGCGCTGGCCTGTTGGAACTTGGCCTCATATTCTTGACACCGAGCCATCTGCGATTCCATCTTGTCACGAATCTGACGGAGCTCGTCTTCTTTCTGAGTCAACTTCTCCTCTTGTTTCGTAACCTCGAGCAGTGGTTTGACCTGTAAATACATAACATTGATTAAAGATATTAATTACTGGTCTGCAAAGTTTCCATTATAGAATATTAGAATATTTAATGAAATACTTGCCTTTATGTACAATCTCCACCATTGCCAATTTCTCAACTTCAAATATGCCGCACAATTCCTCTGGATGATTCGAATGGCGTTGAGCTGCTGCAGTCTCTTTTGGTAGTTTCTTCTCGCCAAGAATCCTCTGCAGAAAGCCTGGAAGTTCACTATTAAGTCGGTGATCTTGTAGTCCCTCTCCTCTTCCAGATGCGCAAGGACTCCTGCTCTGAAGAATATCTTGGATTGTCCGACGCGGTACAGATTGTGATCGAGTTCGAGAGCTTCGATCATACGTTCGCATGCTTTCTTTCCGTCCATGAATCCCTTGGGAATGATGTTCGGGGTCAGTAGTTCGTATCGCTGACGGAATTCCTGGAATGGTATTCTGTTAGGGAAGCCCTGTCTGCAAATTCTAATTCCCTCCAACACACCGTTGCACCTGAGCTGGTCGAGAACCAGGGTTGCCTCGATTTTGCCGGCTTTCTTCTCATGATTCGGTATGATACATCTGACGAAGTTCGGGTTGGTGTTTCGCAGTGTCGCCATAAGTTTCGTCAGTTGCTCTTTGTACAACTGGGAAACCGTTCTGAACATTCCCTTTCTCGTTCTAGCACCGAATTGCGTGTCAGTCATCGCTTGTTGCGCCATGCCCACTATTTCAGCGTCCTTCCAAATGTGGCACACGAACGGATCTTGTGATGCTTGCAACAGCGACACGACGTTTTCGTTCAAAGGATCCATGTTCTTCATCAACCATTTTGTTGCTGAATAATCGACTTTGCCAGCATAATGAATGATCGCAAAGTCTGCGACGCCCCGGAAGTCGGTCTTCATAAACTTCGGGTGCACCGAGTGAGCAGAAACTAATTTCTCAACGAACGTCTTGTCTGTCGCTTTCGGGAACCAACACTCTTCATCGAGAAGAGCCATTATTCCCATGGGCTTATCGATCAGGTCGATTGTCGGCTGCAAGTCGAGCCCAAAGTCGATGAATTTCCATTCAATGCCTTCTCTCTGGTACTCTTCCTGTTCTAAGATGAACATAGTGTGGTTGAAGAGCTGTTGTAGCTTTTCATTTGTGTAGTTGATGCACAACTGTTCGAATGAGTTGAGTTCGAATATTTCGAAACCAGCCATATCGAGGATGCCGATGAAGGAGGCGCCTTGTCTCTTCGTCCTGTCGAGAGATCTGTTAATTCTGTTGACCAGCCATCTGAACAGTCTTTCGTAGCACGCTTTACTAATGGCCTCAACAGAAAACTCCACCTGTTCTTTTGTCTGCGCTTTCGTTACAAAATCGCGGCCGACTTTGATCCTTGGTTTCAGGAAAGCCTTTGTCATATCCGTAACGGATAAACCTAAAAATAAATTAAAGTTATAATTATCTATTTAAAAATTAGATTATAATAAATAACGATAAGAAATTATTACCAAGCAAATGTGCAATCTTTTGCGCAACAGTGTTATCTGGAAGTGTGGCTTGATCCGAGTTTCTTTCTTGCTTGAATTGCATCGAACCGAAAAGAAGAACGGCCGACACGATTCTAAATATCGAATTGAAGTCTTCCATGTTCATTCCCATAATGTTCATGGACTTAATAGTCGCCTGGAATTCAGCCGAATCGTCGATACCCGGTACGGGCAGAGCTCCATTTGTTAGGAAGAAGTAGCTTTTGGGGTCTTCTAGGATATATTCAGCTCGCTGCTCGGGAGTGGCTCCCGATAGGAGCTGATAGAATATATGGAATGTTCTTTCATCTTTTGCTTGTCTGATCGCTCTCGATTTCTCTAATAAATACGTTTCTATATTCGCTCCAGCTATGTACCCTGACGCGTCAAAGTTAATTCTAATGAATTTACCCTGTAAATAAATATTTCATTAAAATTATGTTTTTAATTAACTATTTATTTATTACTATTACGATACTCACAAAACGCGATGAGTTATCGTTTTTGACTGTTTTGGCGTTACCGAAGGCTTCTAGTATAGGGTTGGCCTGTAGTAACTGTTGCTCCAATTCGCCCTGCAAAACAAAATGATGTTAGGAAATTATGATAAAATCATTAAAATTTATCAAAACCTTGTTAGAAAACATATTTAGCACAACAAGCAAACTGCATAATTATTTACGCGACACCCAAGTAATTACATTATATGATTGTACTGCGGTGTATTTACCTCAAAGGTCGGTCCATTGCTCTAAGCAGCGTGAAATTATGATAGAGGTAATGTTAAATGGTATGACGATTAGCAAGTGCCTTACGTATTTAGCCATTCTATTTTATACTCCGCCTTTAAGATCTAGCTCATGAGAAGTATACGGTTTTTTGCAGATATAAAACAAGAAATTAATATTTATTATAAAATCAATATATTCATATAGGTTACACTATGTTGGACTGTGGAATAAACTGTGATTTTTGCAGTTAGACCGACATTAAATAAATGGAGACAAAGCTTAATTTATTCAATTTTATTTTTCTCCTATTTCGTGTTATTCCCACAAGAACGTAAGTGCGAGTTATTATTTCACCATGCCTCCTGCTGATAGAGGACTTTTTTTAAATTAATTTCATTATTATTTATTACTCAAGATGTCATGTAGAACATGGTGTAATGGTTGCAGCTCCTTACAAACGCTGTGTAAAACAAAAAACTTGGCGATTAAAAATAGTGGCCGAGAGTTTATTCCCAGTTCTTCTCTTCTGTTCTACGCCCTTGATTTGAGAACTGACAGTAAATGTAAAATTAGTTAGTATTTAATGTATATTTCTTTTTTTGGCGTTCATAAGTGTCCACCTATATGAGTGTTACCTATATGAATATATGATTTTGACTTTTTGTTATTGTAATGTAAATAAAGTGTTATTATTATTATGTTCCTATCAATACAGCCCAGAGCAACAAAAACAAAATAGACTTTATATTAAATTTTACTTATACGAAGCTATCAGATAACAGAAATTATACTTCCTCATGCATTATAGATATCCATTAAATCTACAACTATAGAAAATAGTTGTACAAAGTGAAACACGAAGCCTCTTAGCGATCGTCATCGATAAAGACCACTTCAATGAGTCAAGAACTCAAGAGACTCAACGATGCCATGGATAAATTATCGCGAGCTCCCTACTTAGACATACATTGTTACCTTCTAATTAAAAAAAAAATCAACAGTGTTGGCCTAGTGGCTTTAGCGTGCGATCCCTGAGGTCCTAGGTTCGATCCCCGGATGTGCACTAATGGTCTATCTGCACATTCGCTCAAACGATAAAGAAAAAAATCGTGAGGAAACCGGGTTGCCTTAGACCCAAAAAGTCGACGGCGTGTATCTGGCACGGAAGGCTGCCAATTAAATTAACAAACCATGAAACAGATACAGAAATTTGAGGACCAGACCTAAAAAGGTTGTAGCGCCACTGATTTTTTTATATAACCGCTTTAAGTCAGTATATACATCTTTCTATTAACGATTGAACGCTGTATGAAAATTGATTTAGATACGTTAAAAACTGTTTTATATAATTGTATTAATAAATGTTGCGATATCATAAAACTAGCAAATTAAAATTAACATATCGTATACCATAGATTATTATCTATATGCATAGTGGCAAACCATAACAAGCATTAACCTTAAATAATATATCGTGCACAAATAATAGAGTATAAGACACAAAAGAATCTATATGTCTATGAAAAATAGTGGTACTTACTATAATCAACTGTGGCGTCGGGACCTGAAGATCGGTTGGCAGTCGACGAAGAGTGAAAAAAGAAAAGAATATTAAATAGGTGCTCATATTCCATACATGAGAATGTTTTGTCGTAACGTAAATACTTTTATATGCAAAACATTAACATGTAAATATTGGTTGTGTGTACCAAATCTTAAATACACAAGTGATAAAAATAATAATACCAAGAATAAGTCAAGACAAGGGTCTGGCAGCACACAGATTGTTTTCCATCAGAATTCCCTTAAATAGGGTCAAATGCCACCTCCGCACATGCACATGTGCACAAGTTGCTAATATTATACATTGCTACCATTATGACAGAAGAAATATTTGAATAATTTAAATAAAAACTTATTGTAGAAATGACAAAACCCAATAGTGAGGGCCCCAATTTCAAATGAAAAACGTATTATAACAATGTTACAATCTTAAACTAGCGAGTTTACAATGAAAATGACTTCACTTAGCAACTACACTGGTTATATTCTGTTATGCTACGATAATTTGTTCCACTGTTTACTAGGTCTGAAAATTACACGGCCATTATTTATGGAACCAATTTAGATTGATTGTTATTTATATCTTTATTAATAGAAAAATTTATTGCTATATTCTTAAAATATATTTGGAAGCTAATAACAATTATCATTATAGCCGTTAAGGAAAATAATGGGCCCTAAAACATGACCCCGAAGAACACCATATAGTCATAATGGGTAATTTGGTATGTGAGGCTGTCAAATGGCTAGTGTTAGATCCATATAGCTCAAAATACACGTATCAATAACGCTAGCGACCTAAAAGTGATGTAATGTACTTAGTATTTACGATAAGAGCGTACAACAAGGTCGAGGTAGTCGCTTACCCGCATACGGTAATCGAACCAATAACAATGTATGCGCTTTGAAAAAGAAAATTCCATTAGGCATGACACTTAATACACGAGGATTTTAATATCACTTTCAGCTAACACAATAGACAATCGGCAATATGAACTAGTGTCTAAACATACGACACCATTATTACGTATACAATCAATATATATCAGAACTCACCGCTCCAGATCCTTTAGGTTTAGAAGCGGCGACATACGCAAGGTACTGGATAACCTTTTTTGTATTCTCTGTCTTACCAGCACCTGATTCTCCCGTACACAGGATAGACTGATCTTCACGATCTGGAATTCGAGATAACTTAATAAGTGTATTTATAAAATTTTCTTTTCTATGAAATTAACAATAAATCGCCAATTCGTAATTTCACCAAGCCATTTGATACAATTTAAAGATTATTATTGATGTTTTTGAGACCAATAATAATTGTTATATTAGGAGACAAAAAGTAATCACAAACACAAACGTAGTTGGCATACATTTTCCTCGTAAGTGTTTTAATTAAAATTTTCCGCTAATGCCCTGTATGTGTGTTAAAATCGTACTTCCAATGAAATGTATTTGGGTTAACACCATATAAGAAATATTAAGGCGACGTGTTTTGGCAATGTTATCTATATACATAACATTTTATAAAACAGAATAACGTAAAAAAGAACGTTTGAGCTACGTTAAAAGCTACATTGATTGCGTTGATTTTATTGTGACTTTTTAACTCTGGCAATATTTTTAATTCCCGGTTAACGTTTTTTATTTATTGCAGACTACAGATTTTATTATTGTCAATTACAGATTAGATAAATTTGACCAATTTCAACATACTATTAATCGGGGCAAATCGGTTCTTAAGTGCGAAGCCGCTGTGGTAATAATATAAAGATTACAATTCGATATTTGGCTAAATCATTGCATTAATCACTACGCGATTTAATCATGAATAAATCGTGTAAAAATAACGTCACCTCGGCGTCAGTCACAAATAATCCTTGACGAATCTCATATATTGCATCATACAGTGTCAGCAAAAAAGAACTTGAAATGTTATTGTAACATAAAAAGGGCGCGGCTCAGGTGGACCGCGCCCTGTCGCCGGCGCCATTACCGAACAATTAGACAAATGGCTCCACTTAGTTATCTAATGCATCACTGAGTGTACCGGTTCCTGGCAATGCACTACCACCTTCAAGATCCACAATGTTTTTTGTAAAAAATATGTATTTGAAACATGAAGACATTTTACGATTGGTGGCTTACTCAGGTTTTTATGAGAACCGATTTGTATTTTGTCTTATAAATAAATAATCTAGTTATTATAACCACATAGAATTACTAGCGCTGTGGATCAGCCTGCTGCTCAGCATAATGCTGAGCCAGGACCAGTTACAACACACGCATAAGGGGGCGTCCATAAATTACGTGAGGTGTTTTTTTAAATTTTCTGTACCTCCCTCCCCCCCTGGTGAGATGTCGTGAGATTTATTCAACCCTCTCCCCCATCCCCCAATCTCACGTGAGATTTTTCAAAATGTGGGTTTCTTACGTAAACGCGTTGAATTGTTATTGTAAAAAAAAAACCAATTTGCTTCGTGCTTTAATTTACGACTAAAACAAAATAAGTGAAATGTTGAGCGTTTAGGTATGGAGTTAGCGGGAAGTTGCAGAGATGGCCTTTAGGGTCAACCGTTTTCCTAATTTTTTTTTCAATCAGAAAAAAAATTGCGTGATATTTGCCAAGACCCCCCTCTCTCCAACGTAAGATTAAATGAGATTTGACTCGACCCCTCCCCCCTCCCCTTAAACACCTCACGTAATTTATACGCCCCCTAACACACTTAAAACGTTACCTGTTCTTTAAAAAAAATATTATTTTTCATTCCTTTTTTTTGGTATTATTATTTTGTGTGTTTCTGTGTGTGGGTTATGTCTAGTTCTATGTCTATAAACAAACCCTATACAATAATGTGCTTAAATCTTCACATATTTTTTGAATCAGCCGTCCTTATAAGACTATTAAATATTGAAATTATTCGAACAATATATTTTTTAAAGTGTATTACCATAAATGGTATTTCGTTAAAAACAGAGAATACTCATTAAACATTAGATCCACGATCCGATCTAGGAAATAAACGTCATTTATTCTAATTAATATTATGCCATGAATATTCAGCACTCAGTAAAGCAAAAAGCCCGCCAGATACTTGTAAACATGAAAAAAAAATAAACTAAACATCTATCTCCAATTCGGTGATACTTCCTGATCCCTTTTTAAGCATAGAGAAGAATTAGCTTTAGCACTGTGTGTTGATACGTGGCTGTATTTTGGATTTATGTAATTTACCTTGAAGCATAGAGCGGTATGCTGTGTCAGTGATTGCAAATACATGTGGCGGGACTTCATGCCTCTTGATGCCTTTGTATCTCTCCATAATCTTCTCGGTGTAAATCGGGAGCTTCTTGTACGGGTTGACCACTACGCAGAAGAGCCCCGAGTATGTCTGAAATAGAAAACGGAAAGTTAGTATGGCGTTAAAATATTGTACAAATTCCAATCAAAATTTTTTATGCTATCGCAAAATAAAATAAAAATGTGTTTATTCATAATAAACAATGCTTTATAATGTGTAAGATTTGGGAACCCTTTTAAGAAAAAATATCTGTGTCAGGGTTCCCAGCTCTTCCATAACTTAATAGTAAATTCCATAACAATATTATTATTACTTTTATGTAATGTATTGTAATGTGTAACTATGTTAGGTCTCTGGAGCATCTCCAGCTCTGCGTAAGGTGTGTTCATAAGCCAGTCCTTAAACCGTGTTTTTAGATTGTGGAGGATGAGCGGGTAGATATTAAGCAGCCTATTTAATTTATTATATATCACTATCTGACCGACGAATCAGAATCCCTATTTCTTTTTCAATACAGCCTACGATTACAGAGGAGCGCTCTGTGTGCTTTTAAAATTACACTATTAGTGTTATTAATTACTAGGATATACAGCTTCCTGACGGAATGTATCACCACCTTCATATTGAGACCTATGAGAACATTGTCTTAAGATAAGCTAGTTATTATAAACAAAATATAATAATACGTAAATAATAATCATCTCGTACACACAACAACAGGTTATATATGTACATAGTATTGTCCAATATAGCATACAGGTCATAAGACCTTCTTTTTTTAAAGTCCATTAATATAATTGAGAAATAGTATACGTGACTCTGTCAACGTATCAATCATAAAATGTCACTTCTCAATAATAGCCCCATCGCCATCTTTCGTCACGATTCGACTTCCAGCATTCTTAGATTCATTAGACTTAATTCATAATTTAGATACACTACTTATATCAATATTAATAAAGGAGTTAGTCCGGCGAGGACATACTTCTTAAGAACATTTCATGTATTTTACAAACGTTTTAGGTCTGGGCCTTAGATTTATGTATCAGTTTCATGATATTTGTCAATTTAATAGAGAGTGTCACACATAGACACACGCCGGCGTCTTTTTTGTGTCTAAAGCAAGCCAGTTTCCTCACAGTGTTTTTCGTTCACCGTTCGAGCGAATGTTAAATGCGCTCATAGAAAGTCCATTGGTGCACAGACGTGGATCGAACCTACGACCTCAGAGATGAGATTCGCACGCTGAAGCCATGTATTTTAATATACTATTGCTATATATTACCAGCTTTTGCTTGCCTCAATAATTAGTTACGGCATAAGAACTCCCAAAACAACCACAACCATATTCTCATTAGCCAAACCCAAATTTGATGTTCTTGCAATACCAGTACAGTTATTAAAACGTGGATTACGCGATAAATAATTGCAATTGAATTTAGATGGTATTCTTCCTTGAACATGCGTATATGGCTAATAGATCACTAATTAAGTCAGATTGCAAACAACTAATTAATCCAGCTTGTTGAACATGTTTTAATTGCTTTTGTCGTAAAACTTTTGAGTTGTTAACTTTATTAATATTATGATATATTTGACCCTGATATACGCAGTTACGAGAAAGTGTTTAAAACAATTTATTATTAAAATATCTTTAGTATTATTAAATAAACATCGCCTAACCATTCAATGTGCTTACTTATAAATTTGTTCACTTCTTAATTTTTGAGTGAGTTAACAGCCATCTGAGCCGAAATTATCACTTATCTAATGCATATAGCATCGTCGAGAATCAAACTCACCTTTGACATATTTAAAAATATTACACGATATTCAGGACTTTTTAATTATAACGATTAAGTATCATTGTAATTTACCTATATATCTCTCAGATTAATATAGATTAAGTTATACATATCTATATATGAAACATGAAAAAATTATGTTTTATTAATTTAATTAAAAATCAATTCACAAGTAGTTAGACAAATACATATGTAATTCGATTTTAATATAGTTTTCCATGGCGGCAACATCATAAGGACTGGCAGATAGCTTATCACGACGATAAAGAGGGCAGTTATTACTCTGAATCAATTTGCGTCGCGACCTTATGCTTAGAGGGCGATCGCAATGCCTATACACAGATTATAGTATAAAATATTACAGAATAGTAGACATTAAACATAAAGGATCTTTATTATGAATAATATTTTGTTCCAATGTCAAATAATTTATAAAAGATCGAAAGTTAAACTATTTAACTTCATGAGAACTTTTAAGAATGTTAAAGTGCATACGTATGGCGACATAGTTTCCACGAGGCTACAACCAAATTTGGTGCGGCCTCAGCAAACCAATCTTAAACCTAATATATGTACTAAAAGCGCTAGCAATCAAATTTATTACTCTCGATATTACTTCAGACATCCATGAGGCAATGAAACGTCAATTATGGAATAATTATTACTTATAAGGGCTGAGAACGGCTTTAGTTTTTAATCAGGACAGCTAATCCTACACTGCTTGCTTATCATACAATACTAACAAAATTATCTAGTTTGATTTAGTTTTTAGAAACTTAATTCAGCCAGAATAGAGACAACAATGTTGGCTTAGTGTTTTCAGCGTGCGACTTTCGTCCCCGAGGTCATAGATACCTACGGCTCCCAATGGACTTTCTTTCTGTATGCATTTTATACTCGCTGGTACAGTAAACTACATTACGATGAAACCGCCATGACTAAGATCCAAGACGCCATGTCAGACACATAAGGTCTACTTGTCTTTAAAAAAAATTCAAATCGCCACGAAACAGACCTGAGGCCCAGACCTAAAAGATTTTAGCGCCAGTGGTTGTTGGTTTTGAGGACAAACTCAGGCATATGATTTCTTGTCCCATTTTTACTCTTCTAGTATAAATGTTGATATACTATTACTTTTTGCATGTGCCAAAAATGTATATAAAGAGGTAACTAATGCTAGTTGGTTCGGAATAACATAATTTATCAAGCACTTATAATAAAATCTCTAAAAACCTATACACTAAATGAGGTTTTCATAATATGTAATCAGCTGTACCGTCACATGTAAGGTACGACTTAGTGACTCACGTTCGGAGAATGCAGTAAAATAAAACGATTCCAAATATTTTATGAACATATTTACGATGATTTTTGTCGTTACCTCACATTCGAAAACTCGCCTTTTTAAGTGCAACAAAGTTAATTGTCGATAACATCTTTTATACCCGTGTATAACACCAAAACTTTTTACAAATTAATTTCCATTTAATTAATGAATATTAGTATAGTAGTAATAATAACCGGGGAAAACGGGCAGGCTCACATATCAAAAAATTGGTACGCTCGTTTCTTGAAGGACCCTAAGTCGAATTGGTTCAGAAATACTTCAGAAGGCAGCTGGTTCCACATAGTGGTGGTGCGCGTCAAAAACTACCTTAAAAAATGCTGAGTTCTAGAACGGACGTCGAGGTGATACGGATGGAATTTCGTATTGTGCATTGACACCGAGGTGGAGGAAACTCAGCCGCAAGTATTCATCCGAACAACTCCTCTGAACACTCTCCATGGTAAATGCACTAGAAGATGCAGAGTGACCCCACATCTCTACGCGATAATAAATGAAAAACTGTACATTTATTTAATTAAAATTCATTATCATTTATTCATTTAGGTAACACAACGTACACTTATGAACGTCAATAAAGAAATACATATTAAATGCTTTCTATTTTACATTAACTGCCAGTTCTCAAATTAAGTCCGTAGAACAGATAGATACGGATAATATTTAAACTTATAACTACAACAAATTTCGTTCTTGAATTGCTTATTTTCCAAGATAAATAAACACGATTGTCAACTAAAAACTTGATAGAACATTCTGTGATTAAATCCAGGTTTTTCCGCACCCAATTCAAAAATCCGATGAGTCACATGGCTTTCTTTAAAAATTGAGAAACCAGTTGGGCGAGGTGAACAGTTAATAGCCAATAGATCCTTGACACAGTGTCGGCACCAAAGATATCCTTACACGGAATACAACTCGAGTCATTTAAATTGCTCGATCAACTACTTATAACACTATAAAATTAAGAGCTATTAGCGAAGTATTTGACTAAGTATTTACAAATAACTAATTCCAGTTGCTCCTACAAGCTATCGTAGACCATAAGGATATCTGGTGTTACTAATTAATTGTTTTGGTTTGCAAGGTCTTCTTCAGGTGCCATTTTATTGCTAAAGGTTAGCTGCTAACAACTTGAATTGTTTGTATCTTGCGCTAGTCTAAAAAGCTCCTCGGCGGATGTGATCCTGGTCTCTAGCGTACGTTCCGCAACCACGACTTCTTCCTTCTACCAGCCCGTCTCTTGCCTTAAATTTTTCTTATCATTATAAGCTGCAACATGTCGTATCGCCGATAAGATATGCGATTTGCCAGTATTTTTAACAATCTGCATAAAATTTCGTTGAAGGACTCTTTGATTGGTAACTCTTTGGATCCAGGCAAAGCATGCGAAGATAACACGACATCTCAAAAGCTTCGAGGGGTACAGATCACAAGTCCGACCCATTTTGTATTTCACTAATTTCTGCGGCAATTTTTCTTTGACAATCAGTCTTTAAAATCCAGTACAGACGGCGCTAGAAGATTCTTATTTCGGAAAGAATTAACCAAACATATGGCCATTTCTACATACTACATAAATATAACACATTTTTCTCTATTTCAAAATAGAGAAACCATCGTGGTTGGTTACTATTTCTGTTGCAATCAATCAATCGTCAACTATAACGATAAAGTGCTATTCTTTCCTAGATAAAAGATAAATCTATAAGGCATCGTCTGTATATAAAACGTGTCTAAACCAATAATTACGAAGTCGCGTAGGCACGTCCCCGTCAAGCGCTCACGTATTTCCGTAAAGCTGAGTCAGCGCTCGTAGTAACATCTTCAACTGCAAGGTCGAATTGGAACATAGACATCTATAGATACAGAGTGAATAGATAACATTCTAACTAGATAACATACTAAACTATACCACGGTAATGACGATATTTATATATATTTCACCATACATACCCAAGTATATATACACCGATAATTTACAGTGTTCAATGCCACGTAGGCATTTTTCAGCGAATTTGAGGACTGGCAGTAAATGTAAAATTAGAAGCATTTAATGTATAATTCTTTTTTGACGTTCATAAGTGTACAGTGTACACCTACATGAATAAATGAATTTGACTTTTTTTTTTAATTATTGTCCTGGACTTTGTGCTCTTTCTGGTCCATCCCTTCATAGCTATGCTTCCTCTTTTCATTATATCTGATAACTGTCTTATTATAACATCTTTAACCTTAGTAGTAGGCACCCGTACCATCAGCGATTTTGGAAATTTAAAATGATGTTACTGTACGATCGGAGATCTATTGCCGGTGTTACGTTCTTATACAAATTGTTAAATGTCAAATACAGAACAGTAACCTCTTACAGACAAACCATTGTCGTCCCTTATTCATTCCCTAGGTTTAAAATCAGAATGTCAGCAGAATTTTTCAACTATCGTCTCCAAAAACCAAATTTGGAGTTCAGGCACCTCTAATTCGAATTCTTCGAATAACAGAATAAACTCTACTTATCCAGAGCATGACATATTCGGTAGGGGGCTGATCAATTTAAAAAATAGCATTGTTATGTGCCTATCAGATACATATTCGCTGTTTTACTAGTATTTTTGTCACGTATTTTAGAAAATATAGCTTTTAAAATATACAGTAGATACAGCTTTATATATGATGTGGTGAACTTTATAATAAATGGTGAAATTTAAAACTACCTACCCACAAAACGAGTTTCGTGCAATAAAACAATAAGTAGCGTTTAAATTATTTGACCATGTATCGCCAGGGGCTTAGTGAAACAGAACATGTTCATTTTAACATACTGTTGTTAGGTTGCTATTCACATCAACCGCCTCAAAGCTGTTAGTTTCTTCTTTGGTACTACTGATTTTTGTTAACGCTACAACCTTTTTAGGTCTGGGCCGGAAGGTGATCAACCTCCTGCGCCTGACACACGCCGTCGGTGCACACACGGGGTCCAACCTACGACCTCAGGGTAGAGAGCCGCTCGCTGAAGCCGCGACGCCAACATCGCTGCTGCCGCATAGTAGTTTTGATAGGTATAAATTATTAAACGTCTTATCTAAACAGCCTAATCTATTTTGATTAAAATGTTGGTCCATAACAATTTCTGATCTACTTATATTAATTTTAATAGTACAGCGAGCAATTTCTTATAAAAACAGAGCGATTTATAAAAAAGTCATAAGTGCGGTGTAAACATATGAAACACGGCTAAAACTAAACATTACGTGTATGTACGAGGTAATCCTTATCACTCCATAACCATACAGTACCTACTCGATATAAACTCTATTACAATGTAATAAAGTTCAAAATTAACATAACTATGAGTCAGCTGTGGTTATTTGCATTTATAGTACGCTCGCAGAATCTCCTTATTTGGTAATTTTATATAAAAGCTGCGGTTTACGTTAACGCAAATTAAATTATTATTTGTCAACAGCTCGCTTTATAGTCCAATTATAACCTTTTTTTTTATAGCACAGGGGGCACACGCCATAGTATTAATATTGGTATCATATTTTCTTTTACATGTTTGGTCTGTTAGTGTATCAAATCCAACTTGAATTGATTTTATAATAAACACCTAGCAATCCTATGAGAGAAGTTGAAGTGTTGTTATTGTATGTTATCTATA